GACAGTCATGGTTCTTTATGCTTATTCTTCTATCATGGTCTCCACTTCCTCTTCACAACACTAGCTACAAGATTGAATAACTTTGTTAGTTACTTGCTGTTACCACTGCCTAATATGTTTAGCTCATGAGCTGGGAAGGATCTCTCTGTGGTTCCCTGCGCTCCCTGAGAATTACTTTTCTTCAATTCCATTCAAGCAGACTTCAAAAGAAAACCTTCTCATCAATAAGTAGAAATTTGGGGATTTGGTATATGCAAATGAAGAGAGGGCTTGTAAAGGGAGTTGTCCAGTTATTTGTTTTTGGTGTGGAGGGAATTGGATGCACACCAGAGGGCAAAAATTTTAGAGAGGAAGAGTAGGGAGATAGGAATCATATTATTTTCCTAGAGAGATTTGATTTGCACACAGGGAATGGGACCTTGAGGACTACCACATGAAAGAATTTGGCAGGAGCACCGCCTTGGCTAGCTATTTCTATCATCATATTTCCTTCAATGTAAACGATAGTCATGGTATATGCATTTCTGTTTATGCATTGGCTGTGTAATTTGTTACATTAGTGTATTTTTTATATATCATTCATCTATTTTGGCAAACAACTAGCTAATATGTTTTAATTGTTACTATTATATGTATATTTATATAACAATCAAAACATATTGCTTAGTTATCGTTTGGTTTAAACAAACTAATAACCATATATGGTCCATGTCCATTCCTCCTTTTTATTTTATAAAATTAGGTCTAACTCATAAACATTTCATTTTTTTATTTGTCGAAACGAGGGAGTTTTTTGATAAATTCTTTTAAACCCTCAAAAAAAAAATTAAAAATGAAAAAAACAACAACAAAAAAAAATCAAATGGAGTGTATGGTGTTCGTTATTTAGCGTCATTAGTCGCTCATTCTTATGCACATTTCTAGCGTATCAACCAACAACTCTATTTCCGGACGATACTCAAAATGTGTGAAAGGATGCATCAAAAAACAACTTCAAATCAGCACTTCATGAGCATTGATCAGCCAATGCACAGTTGCGCCTGCAAATGACGGGGCCTTGGGGTGGATCCTTTTGCATCCCTCTCTTATGGGCTTATTTTGTTAACCACTTCATAGAAAAAGAATCTGGGGAAGCCCAACCAAACGGGCCTTTAAATTCAAATAGGTTAGCAGCTTGTGCATATCCTCTTTATTTTTGGTGCCCATCAACTATTTGTTGAAACTTGAAATACCCTACAGATATTATGAGCCAAATCTGCACGTATAATTCCAGGTTAGTTTTTACTTAATCCTTCTCTTGCTTTATTTACCCTCAATTTTTATGGAACCCCTGCATTTATCTGTCAATTCTACCGTTCCCACTAGAACCATTCACACATACCAATAACTCATAAAATAAAAAAAAACCCTACCGACAACGCTGTGGGGTCACCTCAAAAAAAGTTTTCTCCAATGCCAATTGTGGTCATGAATTGATTACCCTCTATTATAGCATGTGACGGTCAATCAACTAACAACGACAAATTCTGAGTAGGCCATGGTGGAAAGAAATGAATTGCA